CAGACAACATTTAAGGAATAATGTATTTATATTGAAAGTATGCTTTATGGCTTTGGAGTTTAGTTACCAGGGGATAATGTATCTCGGTGATGGCCCATTCAGCCAAGGGGAAGTTGTTACCCCACTCAGTTTGGCTGGTGATGGAATTCAAGGCTCTATTGTTTAGCCTTGCACAACAATAAGGCTATGTCTACACTACATCAAAGGGACTTAGGGTGCCCCTCTTGTTAACCTGTATGACGAAGTGGGAATGTTCTTAATGTTTTCTCTGAATACTGTGTGGGTGCCTCAGTTTCCCCTATGCATTTTTTAGGTATCTAGGTGGGAGGATCAGGGTGTGTGATTGTTGCAGAGACCAAGAGGGCCCCTGTGATACTGGCTGCACAGAGAATGGCCCACACTATCTCCTGGCAACTAATGGCTTGGGCCCCTCCTCTACAAAGGTGCCAACTGAAGGTGTTGGAGGACAAAGATCAGGTGACCTCCTGGCCCGGGAAAGGGACAAAGGCAGAGGAGGGGCTGGAAAGTTTAGTTTGGAGCTAGCTGGGGAAATGGAGGGAGGGCCAAAGGTGTTCTGGCCTCCCTACCTCCCCAAGATGGACCTAGCTGAGGGGTCCTGGTCTCTGTACCTACAAGCTGTTTTAGACCATCTAATAAACCTTCTGTTTTGCTGGCTGGCTGAGTCACGTCTGACTGCGGAGTTGGGGTGCAGGACCCTCTGGCTTCCCCAGGAGCCCCGCCTGTGCAGACTCGCTCTGGGAAGCGCACGGTGTGGAAGGGGATGCTGAATGCTCCGAGGCCAGACCCAGGAAGGCCGAACTGGGTAAGCTTCTTGCCCTGGAGACAGTATGCTCACGGAGAGGAGGCTCCCCCAGAGTCCTGCCTGGCTTCGTATGGAGTAGTTCCAGAGCATCGCCCGGTGACTCCGTGACAACCTGCAAGGTGAAGTTAGAGCTGGCATGGCTAAGAAGAGAGTGCTTGAGTGGCTGAAAAGCTTGTGGTGTCAGGGAGCTGACACCTAGTTATGAGAGTCTCCGTCTTACTAGAGGCAAGGATAGGTACAGTAACTATGCCATAGGCCGGGGTGGCCAAACTTACTGACCCTCTGAGCTGCATTCAACAATCTTCAGAAGTTTGAGAGCTGGAGAGCGCCTGCCGAGTCTCAGGGCTTCAGCCCCATGGGGGGCGGCTGCCAGGGCTCGTGGAAGGCACCTTCTGGGGCTCAGGGCTTCAGCCCCATGAGAGGCACCTGCTGGGGCCCAGGGCGCCATGAAGGGCTGAAGCCCCATGCACTGGCAGACGTGCCCTGCGGGGCTGAAGCCCTGAGTCCCTACCCCATGCTGCTGGGCAGGCAGAGGCAGTGCCTGCGCGGGGCACTTGGGGTCAGATTTTTGCCAGGGTTTGCTGGCCCTGCTCAGTCACATGGTGTGGCCAGGCCTCCTCCCTGCATGGCAGCTGCTGGAGACAGCAAACAGCTAGGAGCTGCAGGGAAAGCGGCTGCTTTTGCTGCTGCCTCTCGCCCTGGAGTTAAAGCAATGGCCCCTCCCTGCAACTCCCAGCTGTTTGCCACTGCCCCTCTCCATGCGGAGCTAACACCTGGGAGCTGCGGGGAGAGGCCACTGAGGATAAGAGGCTCAAGCTGTTTGGGGTGGGCAAACCTTTAAATTGTGCCCTCCCACTCTCAGCAGGCACAAGTCAACTCTGGAAGAAGCCCCTAAACCCACCACAGGGCAGAATCCCAGAGCTCCCACCCCAATCTGGTAGGCAGAGAATGGGGGTGGGGAGCTCCACGCCACACTTCAACTGTAAAAGAGACATGCAGCTCACAAGCCACAGTTTGGCCACCCCTTCCCTAGGCAGTCATGGAATAATCTTCCCCCATGGGAAAATTTAGTCCTAATGCCCATTAGTTAGAAGTTGGTTTGTGCCCTGAAGGAAGGCATGGGAGGGAGGTGGAGAAGAGAAATGTTAACACACACATTGGGATTGGGTAGATTAGGGACAACTGGAACAGCAAAAGGAATTCTGTTAGGTTTTGTTTTTTTTAAATCAAGGAACTAGCAAGATGTTTGGCAAACAGCAGCCTGGTCCCTTTGCTTATTTGTTGCTTCACTGCACCCCAGCCTCTCTCTATTTGGCTTGTAAGCTCTTCGGAGACCATGCATGCAAAGTGTACCTGATAAAGTTTGAGCGCTAAATAGGACATTTTTAGTTGGCAGGACTTTGTTAAGGGAACAGTGCTGAGTTATTCTCTCCTCCCATCAAGAGATGTTTTCCAATTAGCTTCTGGAACAGCATCTACGAGACAGAAGTTTGCCTGTCATGACTGCATGAGGAGAAACAGCCCAGTTAAGAAGGGCACTGTACATTTCCATAACTGAGATGGATATTCCTAAAACCTGTTTCCTGTAGGAAGAGCTTACAGACAAAAACAGACCTAGAAATTACTGTGTCTAGCCAGTGGTCCATCTGGACCATTATCCTGTCTCTGCCAGTGTCTAGTATCAGATGCTACAGCCCTAGATAATGGATTTTGTGAAATAACCTTCTCATGGGGAGTATTTCTTTCTAATCATCATCGGTTAGTGATTAGTGAAGAATTAATTAATATACCATCTTAAAATTATACTGTTAGTGGCCATGATATCTTACAGCAGTGAGTTTCAAAGATTATTTTTTGTTACCTTTCAACATAATTGGACGATCCTTTGCTTTTGTATTTTTCTTTTAAAAGGTAAATAGTGGCAGATTTACCTTCCTTATACTGCTCATTTGTATTCCTCTATTGCAGGGGTTCTCAAACTGGGGGTCAGGACCCATCAGGGGGTCATGAGGTTAATACATGGGAGGTCACGAGCTGTCAGCCTCCACCCCAAACCCCGCTTTGCCTCCAGTATTTATAATGGTGTTAAATATATTTAAAAGTGTTTTTATTTTATAAGGGGATCGCACTCAGAGGCTTGCTGTGTGAAAGGGGTCACCAGTAAAAAAGTTTGAGAGCCACTGGTCTATCTTGTCCCCTCCACTAAACTAACATTCCTCTCTATCCAGTTTCTCTTCCTACGGAGGTCTTTCTATGCTGTTAGAAATTTTCACCGCCCACCGGTGGGCCTCCTTTTTTCTACTGTAAGATTTGGGGGGGAGGAGGGGGGTTAAGAGAGGATAATTAAAACTGAACATAGTATTTTGGGTGGAAGCATACCATTAAGATATACGATTATTTCAGTATTATTTAAATACATCATATTATTTTTAAAACCACCATTTTATGCTTGAATGTGTTTTTTATTTAGTTCACAGTGACACCTATGTGGGAAGAGTGATTCTTTTATAAGGTAATAACAGATTATACAATCAAGAGAGAACCAAAAATAAGAGAATCCATGGACAGTTTTGCACTGAAATAAAGTGCAAATTAAAATTGATTTAATTATTTTGGTGCACAGTCTGGGTATACAGCAAACTGAAGAAGCAAGATTTAAAAGGGAGATGAATTAATCCCACAGCTTGAATTTTAAAATTTTGTTTCTTTACTGCGTTTTTTTAGGAAAATAAAGATGAGAACACAAACTTGCCTCTATATCTTTAATAAAAACTCAGAGTTTCCTGTCAAGGAAATCAGTTACATTCTGATAATTAACATTCAAAAATTTAAGGAAAGGCAATAGGAGAGAACATAAGTCAACTACAAGTACACGGCAGCAAAATATTTTATTAATAATTAAGGATATAATAAAACAATATTTAACTCTGAATTTGTACCAATGCAGTATAATGCATACAGATAAATTTGGATATACACATTTTAAAGAAGATTTATGTACAATCATTAGTTACAAACTTTTCCATTAAGCATACTTTAAAAAAAAAAAAAATCCACTAAAAAAAAAAAAAAAAAAAAGAAAAAGTAAAAAAATTTCCAAAAAAAAAAAATAAAAAAAAAAAAAAAATCCACTAAACTGGAAAGAAGGAGGGAGGAAATGGTCGTGGGTTACCACGAAATCAAGACTGGGATACTTTAAATCAAATTTGCTCATAAATCAATATAATCAGCAAACAAGTATCATGATTTACAACTTTCTCAAAACATAACAAAAAATACATCCATTCATTTATTTTGCTAAGATGCAACAGCACAGCACACACAAAAGCTTTTCCATTCCACTTACTAATAAAATGTAGGCTTTTTGTGAGTTGGTCCTTTTACATCTTGCTGGATAGTTACTTACCAGAAAGCAAGTGTGTTCCCCAGCCATCTTGTATACAAAACAAAGAAATTACATTCTTCAGCACAGAAACTGGATTCTGTAAAATCCATGCACCATACTTTTTTTGGTTTAGCTTATTTAGTTTACTATTCATGCAGAAACTGCTTACAAATACTGCACCAGATAAGGATTTCCACAAATCTTAAATGCTGCACATTTATCTCATGAGCAGAAGACTGTTAAAAATGCAAAAAGCTAAGATCACACAATATGTTGGAACTGGAATTTATTGAGTTAATCATTTTTCAATCCATCTGATGCTTTTGCCTTTTTAAAGAATCAACCTTTCACAAAAGCTGAGATAAGCAAATCTTAAATAGAAAAAAATATAAACTCTCTTATTCACCTTTACAGAAAAAAAATTAGAAATGCTGAAAGCTTCACATGACCTACAGAGGAATATGAATGCTTTGATTTTTTTTAAACAATGGCTGTACATCTAACCATTGAAGAGACCAGACAGTAACAATTATCATAGTAATTAAACTTAAATATAATAAGCATTATCCAACTGTTGTCATGAAAGTTGCAATTGTATATTAGAAGTTATGACTACAATTTAAGTACTTAGCAAAATCTGAAATGACCTTTGTAAACATTTGCAAAATAATTCAGATGTTTAACACCATTAATAATCAATTTGTTTTAGCCAACAGAATAAGAAATGCAAAAGTAGATAGGTTAAACTGTAATTCCAAGCAGATATGATTTTGGAAAAAAGAAAAAAAAAAAAAAAAAAGGACGAGATGAGTACAGGTAAGGGCCCACATGAATTGAAAAAATAGGGAGAAGCATCTGAAGAATACATCTTCAGTATTGGGTTATGACTTACCAACTATATTTAATTTAAAAAAAATTCTTTGACAAATAATGTACAAAGAAGTCAACAGTAGAACAAAAATTCAGTGAATCAAAATAATTATACTTTGAAATTACATAGCTTGTTTCATCCAGAGATTTCAAAGCACTTTATAAAGGTGAGTAACTATTATTATCCCCTTCTTCCAATCTGAGGCGCTGGCTGTCTTGCCCAAGATCACTAAGCAAGTCATTGTGTGGGGAGTTGGGAACAGAACCCAAATTTCCTGAGTCCAAGTCCCACTCTCAAACATCTAGTCACAGCTGACCCCTAATATATCACTTTATTTCATTTGATACATATTATAGCTGAATTGTAAATAGAAAAATCCAATTGGTAGAGATGACTATAAATGCATCATGCTGCCATTAGACAAACAGTTCCTGTATCTATCTAAGGTGGTGTAACTTTAAGGTGTTGTTAAAAGGCACTTGTCTCTCAAAAAATATTTTGTTTTCTCTAATTAGTGTATTTAAAATATAAAATATCTGAAATGATTTACACTAGTTAAAATGTTGCAAATAAATAATCCATTACAAAGTAGTAATTTATAAATCTAACATGAAAGGAGCTATATGGGAAAACAGCTATATTTAAACATTTTTGACCCATTATTCCACTTAGTGCAGCATTCTGTATGATACTTCTACAGTAGCACACTTTTGGTATGATTTATATTGGCTACTAAATTCCTATATCCACAAAGGAAGAGGAAAGTGCATGTAGAAATAGAATCAGGTTTATTTAACAAGCTGTAGAACTAACCTAACTGCTTGTGAGATGAAGGAAGAACATCACACCAAAACAAGCCTTTTCTGAGTCTTATGTCTGAGATCACACATGACCAGTATGAAATGCGACATAAATTATGAACAATTTTGTGACTAACTATATTTACAAGGTTAAATCAGAAGTACCCACTGACTTAACTCATTTTAAAGTGGTTTCCATTTTCACAGGTTGCTGAGAAGACCCATCAAATCTAGATCCAATAACTGAGTTAAAATACATCTAAATGGCAATTAAAGATAATCCAGTGCAGTTTTCAGGGATTTATGGATGGCAGTAAAAAAAACCCTCACATTTATCTAATCAATGTATACTATAGTTTTCCTGTCTTTCAAGTCTCATAGCTACCTTCTAATAAGATGACAGCCTGAATTTGAGGGACTCTTTCCTAGATGTCCAGTACAACAAGAAAATGGATACAACCAGTCATTTATGTATGTAAATGTTAATTTCCAACATGTATTATAATACAGCTACATTGTAAAACCAAAAACACAATAAGGTGAAATGGATGGAACCAAATCAAACACAGAAATGAATAGCCAACATTTTTTTGTATTTAATTTTTTGATTAGAATAACACATTAGAAGTATGTCCATGCTGCTGTAAAATTGATGGATCTAATCTTGCATTTGGCCAATAATCTTAAATTCCCAGTCTTCTTTAAATAGTTTTTCCAGTACTGTATTTTAAGGAAATTCCTGCATCTTTGAGAAACGTGCATTCTCTGACTTTTGCATTAGGTTTCTTTAAAAAACAGTTTGACCAAATATTAGACTCTGATACTTATGCAATTCCTCAAGAAAGCCATATCTCCCACATAACATGGTGACCAAAATTGAAAAAATGGTGTACTGACAATTGCCATGGCAAGTGGGTGAAAGTGTGGGATAGCTGCCATATAGTCAAGCCAACTATTTACACAATCTCCATAACCCGAGTGAATATAAAAACACAACTTTTAATCATGTGCAGCTCATGGGAACTATCAGTCTACATAAAGTGCAAAAAAGAAAGCAATATCTAACATCAGGCCACTGCTTTTCTAGTACTCCCACTCATCTGTTTTCATGTCTAGATAGTAAAGAATATTCTGTGCAAGCTTTACTGCCTGCTTTCTGGCAACTTTAGATCGCTCATCTCCTTGTGGATCAACAGCATCAAGTGCCAGAAGTTGCTTAGTGAGGAGCTCTTCTAGTCTCATGTAGTTCTTATCAGTTCTGTTTCCATCAAAAGAGAGCACTTCCCTCTGAATCTGAGACAAGTGTCCAAGAACACTCCAGACTGCCTTATGGGATTGGTGTTCCACAACAGTTTGTTCACCATACATTTGTCTTTTTTCAAGTGCTTCCTTTAAATCAATATATGTTATAAGAGTTTGCACTTCTATTACTGCTCTTCTCCTGGCTTCTCTGATACACGGGTTCTTTCCTGGACTCACTTCATCCAAATGGGCAATTAAACCTTGCAGTTCTGCCTTGCATCCCAAGTACAAATCAGAAGCATTTTCTGCTTTGAAAAGTAAAGAATGAACTTCTTTCATTTTTTTGCGGATCTCTTCTATTTTTAGAATGGATTGATTTTGTGCCAAGTCATAAGCATGAGCAGAGTCCGCTTCCTCTTCCAAATCCAGATATTTCTGTAATTTGTTGATCTCTTCCACCACTTCCTTTCTGTAATTTCTTATTTCTGTGTGACCACAAACATCCAAAGCATCCAAATCAGCAATCAGACCTGTAAGCACACAGGATAAATGCCTGCAAGTCTCATTATTATTTACTCCCATTAAGACTGCAATAAGAGTTCCCCTAGCCTTGTTCACATCACACATAACTGAGTTAATTTTTGAGACCGAAGGATGTGCATCACTGGAGAGTGGCAGGGAAGGTTGCTGCTTTATACAGCTTTCTATAATCTCTTGAACTGCGCACACTTTTGTCAGAGTGCGATATCTTGCTTTCCGTAACGAGATTTTTCCTCCAGTTTTCACTTGAGTGAGTCTCAATACAATATCCTGAATACCCTCTTCAAATTCATCAGTTATACAGTTGCCACCTTTATAAAAAGGTGTGATCTCACGTTCCACCAATGATTGAGCTTCCTTATATATGGCCTCTATTTCCAGTCTGTGTGGATGGTTCGCATTCTGCTCCAATTCCTTGAGTAGTCTCTCTGTTTCCTGGGCTGCTCGTTTTCTCGCCTGCTGGATGTCCCCTTTTCCTTCAGTATCTACAGAATCTATTTCAAAAAGCTGTTTAGTCAGAGTCCTCTCCAGTTTCTTGTAATCCCTGTCAGTAGACAGGCCACTGAAAATCACCACCTGCTGTTCAATATCTCTGACTTCTTTCTGTATTTCTTGCAGCCTTTTGATGGAAGGGTGTTGGTTACCCATATCCATTATCTTATATCTCCAGTTCCAACTGAACTACAAATAAGGCAAGAATAAGAACTATGACTGACAAAATTATATCAGACGCTGACAGACATATTTCATACTACCTTTAACAACTTTTATAAGGCCTCAAGTCACTTTAAAATATTTAATAAAGTAATTTGAGCTAAAAAGCTACAGAGACTTTATTTACTGGTGTAAGTTTAAAAAAGAGGAGTGAACCACAACTTCAAAACATACAATATTCCCTGTTCTTTGGTGCATATATCTCTAATGCTGTTTGCAAGCTTCTTCCTATTAAATGATCTGCACTAGGGCTGTCAAGCAATTAAAAAAATTAATCACACTGTTAAACAATAATAGAATCCCATTTATTTAAATTTTTCCGTGTTGTCTACATTTTCATATATATTTATTTCAATTATAACAGAATACAAATGGTACAGTCCTCACTTTATATTTATTTTTTATTACAAATATTTGCACTGTAAAAAACAAAAGAAACGGTATTTTTCAATTCACCTAATACAAGTACTGTAGTGCAATCTCTTTATCATGAAAGTTAAACTTACAAATGTAGAATTATGTACAAAAAAACCCTGCATTCAAAAACAAAATATAAAACTTTAGAGCCTACAAGTCCACTCGGTCCTATTTCTTGTTCAGCCAATCGCTCAGACAAACAAGTTTGTTTACATTTGCAGGAGATAATGCTGCCCGCTTCTTGTTCAGTTTCACCTGAAAGTGAGAACAGGTGTTTGCATGGCACTGTTGTAGCTGGGGTCACAAGATATTTACATGCCAGATGCGCTAAAGATTCATATTTCCCTTCATGCTTCAATCATCATTCCAGAGGACGTGTCCACGCCGATGATGGGTTCTGCTCGATAACGATACAAAGCAGTGTGGACTGACGCATGTTCATTTTCATCATCTGAGTCAGATGCCACCAGCAGAAGGTTGATTTTCTTTTTTTGGTAGTTTGGGTTCTGTAGTTTCTGCATCAGAGTGTTGCTCTTTTAAGACTTCTTAAAGCATGCTCCACACCTCATCCCTCTCAGATTTTGAAAGGCACTTCAGATTCTTAAATCTTGGGTCGAGTGCTGTAGCTATCTTTAGAAATCTTACATTGGTACCTTCTTTGCATTTTGCCAAACCTGCAGTGAAAGTGTTCTTAAAATGACATGTGCTGAGTCATCATCTGAGACTACTATAACATGAAATATATGGCAGAATGCAGGTAAAATAGAGCTGGAGACATACAATTCTCCCCCAAGGAGTTCAGTCACAAATTTAATTAAGGCATTATTTTTTAACAAGCGTCATCAGCATGGAAGCATGTCCTCTGGAATGGTGGCCAAAGCATGAAGGGGCATATGAGTGTTTAGCATATCTGGCAAGTAAATACCTTGCAATGCCGGCTACAAAAGTCCCATGCTAACGCCTGTTCTCACTTTCTGGTGACATTGTAAATAAGAAGTGGGCAGCATTATCTTCCGTAAAAGTAAACAAACTTGTTTGTCTTAGCAGTTGGCTGAACGAGAAGTAGGACTGAGTGGACTTGTAGACTCTAAAGTTTTGAATTGTTTTGTTTTTGAGTGCAGTTCAGAGGTGAAAGTAAGCTGGTACGGGCCGGCACAGTGTACCAGTAAAAAAAGTGGCTGCCAGTATGGGCCGGTACACAGCCAACATTAAAGCGCTGTACCGACAGCGCCACTGACGGGGGGCCACCGGGGCCTGGCGATTTAAAAGGGCCTGGGGCTCGCGGCAGCGGCCGGAGCCCCGGGCCCTTTAAATCGCCACCAAAGCCCCAGCACTTCCAGCCACCACTGCCACTGCAGCAGTGGTCAGAGCCCCGGGCCCTTTAAATCGCTGCTGGAACCCCGGGCGGCGTTGGCCAGGCAGCACTGGCTGGGGGAATCTGGCTCCAGCCCTGCCCCTTCTGCCTGAGGCCCCTCCCCTTCTGGGGGCCCAGAGCCACCCTCCCCAACCTTGCCTAGGACCCCGTCCACCCTGCGTACCAATAAGTCCTTTAAGTTACTTTCACCCCATGCAATTATGTAACAAAAAAACCCCCAAAATCTACATTTGTAAGTTGTACTTTCACAATAAAGAAATTGCACTAGAGTACTTGTATGAGGTGAATTGAAAAATGCTATTTCTTTTATCATTTTAACAGTGCAAGTATTTGTAATCAAAAATAATATAAAGTAAGCAGTGAACACTTTGTATTCTGTGTTGTAACTGAAATCAATAAATTTGAAAATGTAGAAAACATCCAAAAATATTTAATAATTTTCAATTGGTATGCTATTGTTTAACAGTGCGACTAAAACTGCGATTAATTTTTGAGTTAATCGCATGAGTTAAATGTGATTAATCACCAGCCCTAGTATCAGGTTTCAAAGTAGCAGCTGTGTTAGTCTGTATCCACAAAAAGAACAGGAGTACTTGTGGCACCTTAGAGACTAACAAATTTATTTCAGCATAAGCTTTCGTGGGCTACAGCTCACTTCTTCAGATGCATGGAGTGGAACACACAGACAGAAGATATTTATACATACAGAGAACATGAAAAGGTGGAAGTACGCATACCAATTGGAAGAGGCCAATTGATTGGCCTCTTACAATCGAAAGCTTATGCTGAAATAAATTTGTTAGTCTCTAAGGTGCCACAAGTACACCAGCCCTAATATGCACTTTTGAATTTACACCGCTAGAAGTCTTTGTTCACTCCCTCAGCTATAACAATTACAAGCAATGCAAAACAAATTGGTTACTTCAGCAATGAAAAAAATTAAGGAGGCAATTTCCAATCCTTAATTTTTTTAGTACAATATACATACATACACACACACCCCTACCTAGTAAATAAATACACCCTTCCCATTCACTTGCATTATTCAGAATAGGGATTATAAACAACCAACATTGTCAGCCTTTTACCCACATCTATCTACCCCCAGCAACCCTCACAAGCCTCCTCCACCATCCAGTGCCCTTAACGTGCACCCATCTACCCCTGACAATCTACACCTGTTTCTACACACCCAGAGCCCTTCACCCGCATCCACCTCATCCAGCGCTCTTCACCTGTGCCCATCTAGTCCTGGCACCCCTCTCCTACCTCATTCAGTATCCTTCACCCCCCACCCCTCCCGGCAGCCCTTCACTAATCACTTTCACTCTTCACTTTTCCTCACTCTTTCCAGCTCATTTGAGGTCCCCCTTCCAGCACCATCTGTCCCCAAGCATCATCCATAACCATCCCCAGCACTGCGGCCCCTGCATAAAATAGGAGGGGGGGGGGTGAGATGGTCCCTAGTCCCCACAGATCGGGATAACCACATGGCGCCTACCCCAGCCAGCAGCCTTGGGGGAAGACAGTCCCCTGGAGCAGGCCCCGATCCCCCCGGAGCCCGGACTCGCTACATCCCTGCAGGAGGGGCCGGGATCCGCCGGGCCGCGCTGCGCCACCCCACCGCCGGCAGGTGGTGACTTCACAATGGGGGCGTCCCGGGGGAACGGAGAGCGAGTGCCAGGGCCCAGAGCCGGCTCCCCCTTAGCGGCGTCGGCAGCGAGCGAAAGCCCGGCCCCGGGGCCACAGGTGGCTGAGAGCCCCGCGTGGAGACCCCGCCTCCCCCTCTCCTCAGTCCCCCGGCAGCCCGGACCCCTTCCCTACCAGCGCCCCCTCTCCACGCCCCGCACCGCCCCGGCAGCCCGACCCCTCCCCAGGCAGCCCCTGCTCTGCTCTTCCCCGCGACGTCCGCCCCTCACCCGGCTCAGCAGACGCGGTTCTCCCGCACACGGAACATGGGCCGGCTACACAGTCCCCCGGGCCGGCCCCTCTGTCCCCCCCTCCCCGCCGGCCTCTCACCTGTGGGCCGCCGGCGGCTGTCAGCAGCCCGCAGGCCAAACGGCGGCTAACCCGAGGACCCCCGTCCCCGCCCTCACTCGGCGGGGGGGCGCACGGGGAAGGGAGCGAAGGGCAGCCGGAGCTGCGCAGCCGAGAGACCGAGCGAGACGCTCTATCCCCGGTTACCGCCGCCCAGAGGCCGGAGCTGCGCCGCCTGCCGCACCGCAGGGAGAAGTTTTGGGCGGCCTTCTCCTTGCGACAAGGCCGTAAAGCCGCCGCCGGCGGGGAGAGGCGCGATGGCAGCGGCGGCAGCAGCGCTTAGAGCGGGCCTGCGCGCGGGGCGCGTGTGTAGCGGGGCGCGCCGCTGCTTCTCCGGAGCCGGTGGCGGCGCGGGGCTCCTGGCCGCTGAGAGGGGGCACGAGCCGGAGAGCCGGGTAAACAGGCAGAGGGGGCGCAGGGTGACGGGGAAAGTCTCCGCTGAGAGCCCGGCCCGGCCCGCCCGGGGTCTGTCCCCTTGTTTTGGGGGAGGGATCCCCCACCCCGCCGGGGTTGTAGTGCTGAGTTGGGTAGTCCTGTAGGCAGAGCGGGGAGCCAGAACTCTCGATCCCCCTCTCCCGGGAGGGGGGACTCCACCCCTGCCTCAGGCTCCAGGCAGGTGGACCGCTGGACCTGCATGGAGCCTCATTGCCCCATGGTTTTGGGTACAAGACTTGGGGCCCTGCTGGGTGCAGCTAGGCACTGGGTGTCAGGACTCGTGCGCTTTGTTCCCCCGGGGGCAGCAGGGAATCTGCTAGGCCAGGGGTCGGCAACCTTTCAGAAGTGGTGCGCCGAGTCGTCATGTAGTCACTCTAATTGAAGGTTTCGCGTGCCAGTAATACATTTAAACGTTTTTAGAAGGTCTCTTTCTATAAGTCTATAACAGATAAACTAAACTATTGTTGTATGTAAAGTAAATAAGGTTTTTAAAATGTTTAAGAAGTTTCGTTTAAAATTAAATTAAAATGCAGAGCTCCTGGGACTGGTGGCCAGGACCCAGGCAGTGTGAGTGCCACTGAAAATAGCTCGCGTGCTGCCTTTGGCACGCGTGCCATAGGTTGCCTACCCCTGTGCTAGACTCTAGCAGCTAGAGGCTGGGAGCCAGGACTCCTGGGTTCTCTTCCTGGCTCTGGTGAGAGAAGGGGGGGTGTATGTGTGTGGATTCTGGGGTTATATTTTCCCTGGATTATCATGCTTCCCGTATTCCCAGGGCTTCTCATGACAGGATTTTACTTGCATTTCCTGTTTAATTGTTTGAAGAAGTTTTGTAAAACCGTCAATAGTATTTGGACAGCACTTCTCAAGAAATGAAACATTTTCCAAGGGTCACGGCAAGTCTCATAAAACCTCATTAGCTGCTTTTTAATTGTATGTGGTTCTTGATTAGCAAATAAATGAACGTGTTGCTTAGGAAACAGTAAGGTCTGGTGGAACCCAACCAGCAAGTGATTTGGAATCAGACCCTAATTACTACATTATCATACAAGTAGAAGCTAGAGTTTGAGAATCTTTACACAATCCAAATTTCCTCAATATAGCAAAATTAGCGAAGTCCTAAATCAGGGATTGGCAACCTTTGGCACGCTGCCCGTCAGGGAAAGCCGCTGGCAGGCTGGGACGGTTTGTTTACCTGCAGTGTCCGCAGGTTTGGCCGATCGCAGCTCCCACTGGCCAATGGGGGCTGCGGGAAGCAGTGCGGGCTGAAGGATGTGCTGACCACCGCTTCCCGCAGCCCCCATTGGCCTGGGACGGTTTCCGATCCCTGTTCTAAATGTTGATTCCACAAGACCTGGGTTTAGAATTTTTTTTTCTAAGCACAGTGCAGGTGTTACCTGTTCACTCAGCTCTCTAAATAAAGAACATGAGATTAGGGACCCGATCTTGTAAATATTTATACATGCACTTAACTTTATGCACTGTGCATAGTCCCACTGCAATCAGTGAGAGTACTCCTGCAGCGTGAACCACATACGGGCACTAGTTTACGTGCCTACGAGATACAACTAAGATTAATTATAAATGGAGAAATAAGAATGTGGTGTTGTTGTTTAATAACTTTGTCCCTTTTAAAGCTTAACTTTAAAAATGCTGGTAGCATACAATAATTTATATTTCTATAGTGCCTTGCCTTTCATCTGAAAGTGCTTTACATACTTCAGAATGCTTCTCCGACAAATATCACCCTTTTTTTGTAGATTGGGAAACTGTAGAACAGAGAAGGTAGGTTACTTGTCCAAAATCAAAAAGTGAGTCATTAACAGAGTATGGTAGTAGTCCAGAGTTCTCCCTACTCCGCCCTCAACAAACCACTGGTTAGTATCTCCTTTGTGCACTCTTACAAGCATACACAAGCAAAGAATAAACTGCAAGGAAAACTGCAAATGAAAATATATACGAGACTGATCCTGTACCTAACAGTCTCCTATGCTACCATCAAATATATTAACAAGACAGAATGTCCATGACATGAAGAAATGAAAGTGTGATCTAAGGGTTTCTTTAGTCTGTGTCTTTGATTGTAACCCAAAGTCACTTGTGCCTCTCTGACAGATTGATAAACATATCATAAAAGTGAATTACTGATGTAAACTTAAATCAAGCTAACCTGAACTCTCAAAACTTTTTTGTTTTCATTGTGTTTTAAGATTAGATTCAACTGTGTGAGACATTTTTATTATACTTTTCTAAGAAACACTATGCAAATTTTTTTTTTAAATGTAATTTTTTTTAAGGCTTCAAGATTCTGCCCTCCAGCACATTCTTGCAATGATTGGATTGGTCCTCCTGACAGACAGTCAAACCTCCGACCAATAGTATTTCATATTCCTAAAAATGAATCGTCACTGGGACGAAGACTTAGGGAATTTAGACAGGAAACTCAAGTTTGGAACCAACAATTCTGGGCAAGCCAAAATGTGTCATTCAGAAAGGTGAGCATGTAGATGAGGTACTAAGCCACTTGGTGGTGCTGAGTTTCCTTAAGAATTTGCGGCATTAGCAGCTGATAGAAAACATGATTCTGTTTGGCTAGATGAAAGATTTTTCACAATTTGCATTGTATAGTGACATTGAACCATGATCATTTTGTATTGTATAGCTGTTCAGAATAGTTGAGAGCACTACAACTAATTATTTTACCTTTATAAACTATTACTAAATGTTGTGGTTTTGCAATTATTTATCCCTTGCTTTAAACTGATTTTATAGTTGATTAATATAATAGTAGAGTCTTTTTGCCATTAAATAGGCTTATCAATACTGAGGAGTGCATATAAAGATGAGCTGCAAAGCTAAAAAGTGTGTGTACTTTACTGTTGCTTGAGGATGTATAAAGAGATTCTCCAAACTTTTTGCAGTTTGTTTTTTACATTAGAAATATACGGTTGTGACTATCCTCTTTTCTGGAGGATCTGGAATGTGAGATTAAAGCTCGTTACTGAAAACTGAGCTATTGTTCTAACTCCAATGGCATAGATGCAATCACTGAGGGGAAAATGAGGGACATAGCTCCCCTCACCAACTTTACTGTCCTGTTGATGTGTTTTTTAAATAATGGCTACAAGCAGTACATTTCACTCCTGGTCCCTCTCAATTTTTTTTTTCTTACATGGGAAGAATATGTTGAATTCTAGGTTTGGAGAGGACCAACTCATCTATTCACCTCCAGCTGTGATGAAAACTGTTTCTGGTTTTTTGTTTTTGTTTTTAAGATAGAAATTTTTTTTAACTAAAAAAAATAGCAACCAATTTTTAAAATTCTATTAAGTAACTATGAATTTATTTTAAAAGGCTTAAGATCTTTCTATGAATTCAACCATAATAGGCATAAGTCAGGAAGACCTCAAAAGGTGATATGTTGCCTTATTTAAAACTTACAATGTAAGGTCCTGATCCTGAAAACAGGTAAGCATATACATACCTTTACTCACATGAGTAGTGCCATTTACTTCAGTAAGACTGTTTGCCTGAATAAAATTATGCACATTCTTAAGAGTTTACAGAATTGGGTCTAAATTCATAGATTCATAGATTCTAGGACTGGAAGGGACCTCGAGAGGTCATCGAGTCCAGTCCCCTGCCCGCATGGCAGGACCAAATACTGACCAAATGATTGTTTCCTGAAGAGGATCCAGTTAACTGATTATTGGTAGTCATTATCGGGTGTATAAATATTGCTCAGATTCTTGAAACTATTGATCAGTAAGATAGCTGACTTCAAGAATTAAATACATTTAATTATAATGTTAAATGTGTCTTAGGGAAAAGAGGAATTCGTTTACTCAAGACTGAAGGCTAAAGGTCTGGAAATGAAAGATGAAACAGGTTAGTGAGATCATTGTTTTTAAATTTTTAAATGCTTTCTGAAAGGGAGGGTTCTGGTTAATTTTAAGTTTTCACCAAATAGTTTAAACTCTCCTAAAAAAAACTTAAGAGTAAATCCTGCCTCTGCCTCCATGGCTGCAGAGCATCACTTGGCAGTACTGCCAATGCAGTTCTGTGGCCCAACAAGGCCGGGTTGGTCAGGGTTTGAAAGGCTGTGCAGGTGTGTGGTAGACCATTCATCTCTACAGTAGCTCTTTGCATAATGGTGCCTGTGGGTCACACACACATTCTGTAGCAGAGCAAGATTTCCTGAGTCCTCAGTTCAGTGTGTTAATCACAAGAACAACCTTGATGTATTTATGTTGAAATTTATTTTCAGGTCAAAAGGTAACATTGAGTGCAGAAGAAATGGCAGATTTTTACAAGGACTTTTTAAGTAAAAATTTTAAAAAGCACATGTGTTATAACAGGTAGGTGTGTGCTCTTCCTGTTAGGTTAATTATGTGTATTACCCAAGTTAAAGGGACACCATCAACTTAGATCGCTCTTCTGTCTGAAACTTTTTGCCTGCTGTTAGAAGTAGTACCTAAGGTTGTTTGAAAGAGATTAGAAAAAAATACATTTTTCCCTTAAATTTGTTTACTTTGCATGTGACAGAACTTCATGTATAGTCACTTTGAGAATTTCCACTATTTATAGTTAGATCCAGCTCCCCTGGAAATTAATCAGTCTCTCCATGGACTTAGATGGGAGCTGAATCAGCCCTCAGTCAGTCAGTTTCCCTTTTTATTGTACAGTGTCTTTCACACAGCTACGGGAGAAAAAATTACAATTGGAAATGTGATTGTAAAACCACTTAACTTTTGAAAAATTGAGTAGACCTCTAGTTGACCGTGTCCCTTTTAAACATTGAATTAGGCAGTGACAATGTGTGAATGTTTTTGCGTTCAATAGAAAATTTTGCCATGTAAACTAAATAATATTTAGCATTTGTACTTATTCTTTTTTATTTTTCACCATTTTTACCTATAAGCTTACCAAACTGAAATTGATTAGTTTTGCTTTGTAGGGTGAGGTACTTGAAGTTGTATGGGTTTTTCTTTGCTGTATGTGAACCCAAGCTAAGATCACTCCTGAGAGAGATCCTTAGCATCTTTATTCTTGCATGCAGCATCTCTTTCTCCTCTGTTGTGTTGAACGGTATTGGACCCAAAAGAGTTAAGGTGCTACTAGAAGTAGTGTTTTTCTGCTACAATATTCTGATCTTTAATATTACACATTTACTATGAATTGTAGTTTGGAGTTATATGTACAGTAACTTTGTACTTTTACCATAAGAACCATTTAAAAAAAATTCCTTAATGTTTATTAACTACAGAAAAACACACAGCAATAGCCTTAAAACACTGACACTCAAAAATGCTGTGGTTATTTATTTTGAATAACAAGATGGTTACAGCTGTAGCAAATGTATTGCCTGGTGCTTGGGAACGCAGACAGTGCTACTCCCTGAATTGGCCATCAGAAGGCTCACTGTAGTGAACTGACTAATATTCTACCTATCAGGTAAGAGTTCAGAATCTCTTCCTGAATGTAGTCCTTGTTGCTATGCTGCGATCAGCTCAGCTGGCTATAATTACATCATTTTAATTATACAGTGTAATTGTACAGCCCAGAAGATAGCAGTGCTTATTATAGGCATTCTGATTTCTGAGGGCCTAGCTTATAGAATCTGTTATTCATGCGTTCAATTGTACACTCTGAGCACTGCCAGTTGGACTGGGAGTTGTGGCTGCAGTAGAGCTGGAATTTGAAAATTCATCATGCTTTTTAGTGTATTTTAAAAATTAACTGATACTATGACTGCATTGGCTCCAGGAATATGCATTTAGCAATATTTATACCGAAAACACTATCTAGTTTTGAAAACTGGAGTAAAAGTGTAAGCAAAGGAAATAAACAGGAAATGAGATTGTAGCATATATATAATTGTGGAAGTAAAGGGGAAAGAGAGACAATTACAATATTATTAGTGTGACCTGTTGATTTACATGCATTTTAAGAGAGCTGTTGGGTTTTATCTTTGTTACATTTTATGTGTAGTTTGCTACTAATTAAGGCCTGATCCAGGGTCAGGCCTTTATTGTGCCAGGCCCATACATAAAAGCTTTCCCATAGAGCTCTGCCAGTTGATCCTGATCAGTAACATCACTACTATTCCAGCACTAAGCCTGTTTTGACCAGATCCTACTAATTGTGCAGTGTTTTGTGAAATAGACAGATGCCCACTGGGAATTAGAAAGATATGACAAAACATCCATACCCTTCTCACAAATGAAAGTATTTGAAATCAGGTATCAAGAGGTGAAAGACTAGTGCAGACTGTTTAACCTAGATCCCGAATTATTTCTTAAAGGCATGCCTCCTTCCCCCCGCCCCAAAAAAAAGGTAAAAGAATAAATATAATTTTAAAGAACATGAACTTTGCAAAGCAGAATACTGGCTGAATAAAATATATATTGACTTATAAACCTAGCATTTGTCATAATGGATCAGATAATTTGACCTTTCAGGACTGACTTTTTTCTGCCTTTGGCAGTGATCAACTCTGCCCATCCAAATGCATGCATATACACATACACCTGGCTAATAGTACAGCGCTGTATAAGGAGGAAAATTCTCCCTGAATGCTTGATGATCAACTTTCCCTCTAAACTATGAGGCTTGATAACCCTTATCTTAGCTTGCATAAGTTCAAATGTAATTGGTATAATTGGCCATAAAACTTTCAACCCCTCTTTAACTCTAGTAGCGTATTAAACTGAGTGCCTGCAGCCATGCATTCCATAGACTGATTACACAATGTGTGACTTCTTTTTAACCATGTACTTAATAGTAGTACTTACAAATTTTCATAGGCAAATTAGCCCTAATTAGACAGGGGAATCAATGCTGTGAGGAAAGAAAAGGTAGGTCATAATTGAATTGTCATGTATCAGTGCCTCTAGGATAGCTAATGCAATTATTTACCTCTTTCTCCCCCCCCATCCTCTCTGTTTTTTCTTCTTGTACTGATTGTTTTTCTGGTGCTGGAATCTAGAGAATGGTACAAACGTAATTTTACTATCACGTTCCTCATGGGACAAGTGGCCTTTGAGAGGGCATGGAGGAGGCTTGGCTGGAAAAAGACGAAAGTTGGAAATTAACGCTCACCGTGTCGTATAGAATACAACAACACCGTAAAGACTGTTGGACTGACACACTGTCTGTGGTCACATTCAGGCTCTAGTTGCTGTGGCAGTAATTCACTGTTTACTTTGTATACCGGGCCACGTGAATGAAAATAGCTGCTGATCTTGACTTCGCATTACCATGTTACACTGGAACATTCAAAAGTATGCCCAACCAAAAGCTATATTGGCAATTTACCAACAGCCGAAGGGCTGCACATAATTTACACACAATGGAACAGATTGCAGCCACCCTCGTCATTAATCTGGCGGTGCAGCCCATAGAGACGATATGATCCAACATACCATGATTCATCTTGTTCCACATCCTGTAGTCTCCATGGGCCATATCAGTATATAAAAGATGGAAGTGGCCATGGTCTGCACTGGCTACATGGGCTACAATTTTCCCACCCTGGTATAATCATTGTAGAGGTAAGTGCAGTTTGTGATTGTACATTGATTAAATTTAACTTAAATTTTTAAACACATTCTTATTTAGAGTGATTAGAATCCCTTTTTTAAAGTAACACTTAAAATACTATGTAGATTTAATACCCTTATAAATGACCAAAACAACTGAATCTTCTTAATTGATCTATTCTTGTGAAAACAAACTTGACTAAGTGATCTCAGTTATCAGAGCTCAGATGAATAAATTTAAGGTTTTTTAGTTTTAAAGCAAATAAAATGTAAACATTGTCAGTCATTTAGCAGCTATGATAGAAAGGGAGTTGAATACAGAGGGTGAAAAGTGCTAGTAAATGCCAATTCATGCCTGTTAATTACCCTCAAAACACTTGCTGCTCTCACCAGGTTCCTTAAGCACCCAAAAGTCCTGCTAGCATCAGAGGGCTTTGGGTGCTCAAGGAATGCCGTCTCATTAGTCAGGTGTGCTATTTAAACTAATTCTTGCAATTTCATTGTACCAGTTCTGTATTATTTAAAAGAAATGACCTTGCACTGAGGGTGTTTCCTGCCCATTAATGAAGTTGAACAGATGTGTTGTTTGCTTTGGTACCTGATAAGTCGATTCTGCTGAATGGAATGTGTATGGACAAATGTGAATGTTTGAATTCCAGGGGTGATATTTTTGATACAATGGTAAAGAGCAGTAGAACTGCAAATATTTGGTGGAAAATAATGTATGCTTCATTCTTGGATTTGAAAAATCCACAGCAAATATATGAAGTTCTTGGGGCCAGCCAAACCTGTTACCATTCTCTCACCCTTCCAAGTGGTCCCCAGTGGTAGAGACCTATCTCCTCCCAGTTGTTTGGAGCTTGATCACATGGCCACTGCATGCTTGACCGATTGCTTGACATCAGCAAGGGTAGCAATCCTCATCAGGTGGTCCATATCTCTATTAAAATAATCAGATCCAAATATACAGACAAAATATATTTCCTCAAAACTCTAGGTGGGAATGGGCACCAACACAATATTTCCTCCACATGCATATGTGTGTACACACCCTCCAGCCCTGCAAAAGTTACTTTGTGAAAACAGCACATTTGGAGTTCTGCAGGTTTAGGGGGTGGGTCTGGGGGATGAGGGGGAATGGCCAAAGGACATCTCTGTTGAGCATCATCTGCTAGCATTTGTTTTCATGCTGTCATACCCCCTCAAAGGGGGTGTATAGGCCAAGGCTTACTATCTCAGCCCTCTAGAGATGTTTTGAGATCCACAGAATAATCTTGCAGTACTCAGGGCATCCATGAATTTGGAAGGTCAAAGTCCATGCAAGTAAATTATTAAACATGCAGCTTTTCTTTCTTTCTGTAAAGATTTTTCACATAAATCCCATGTGTGGTTCCTGCATTGACCCACTAATGGCCCCATAATCTGGTCTACTTATGTCAGGGCACCCACATAATGACTTATGGGGTTAATGATCTGTTGGCTAAATGATCTGTTAATTTTCAAGTTGTGGTTATGAGCCCTGATACAACATGTTTCAGTAATATTGTGATCGGACTTAAATCCATAAGAGAAAATTTTGTATGTAAATCTAAATATCCAGGTGAACTCTCCTGCTTTGGATTCTATTTTTTTATTTCTATCAACACAAAAGCTGTATCAACCTGTTTTGCTCATTCTCTTGTAATACTGCTATGTTTCCTTGGACATAATGGTTATGAAAGTTGCATATTACATAGTAGTTTAAGCTTGGAACTGTCCCTGCTGTATATTTGTTTGTTTGAAATGTCTTATCCTTTTCAGAATATTTTTATCTTGAAATAAAACATTAGACATGTTATGTGTAATACTCCAAGTCTTTTCATGAACTCATAGTTGCAGTATATTTTTCTACAATCCAGGTTTGGGTGGCCTTTACATGTTGTTGAATTTCAAAGAACCCAGTCCTGAAAAAACAAGCACAGTCCCCATAAAAGAAGTTTGTTCACATTTAGCAGAGCGGGGGAATCAACACTCGGGTTCAAAATCAAAATACAAGCCTGGTAGAGAAGTACTTTAGAGTATCAGCCACAGCCTACCCTTTCCCCTCCTAAACTGGGACATATAGATTTGGACTGTGCATGAATCTGCTGCCCTCTCTGCTGATCTGTCCATATTTACCCCTCTCCTTTGCTTTATGGAGAAATGTCAGTCATCTGCCAACTGCAATAAGGAGCTATATGGGATATCTATAATTTTGGGGCCCGGCATTACTACTGCATTGGCCCCTAAGGCATCCATGTAGTGGGATTAGGATTGAGTCCAAGATACTTACAAGGCAAAGTTTTCCAGCTGTACTTCAGCTTTTCCATTGATCTCTTGCTCAGCAGTAGTTGGTATGTTAGATGTACTGTCCATACTGGGCGGGGAGGGAGACACCACTTGTGGGATTTCTTGACTTGTTCATCACTGTTGGTTTGATCAGCTGAGATGCTTTTGCTTTAGTCCTTTCCGAGAGTGGAAAACAAAGGTCAGTATTTTCAAAAGTGGCTGCTGATTTTGAGTGCCTCAAGTTTTAGGGCTCACAACCTGAAACACTTTGATACTCTCCACCTTTGAAAGGCGGAATCTACTGTTCTCTGTGACTAAAGTGGAGCTGCCAGCTGTGCAGCGCTTCTGAAAATCAGGCCCAATCTGTCTCAAGTGAAGCATTTGAAAATGCTCCCAGTCACATTCAGTGACAAGGGTCCACTTTTAGAACTCTCTCTCTGGCTCACCAGAGCCTGATCTTACTGAGCTTTTTTTTTTTTTTTTTTTAAATGATGGACACCGTTAGGAAGTAGGTGATGGAAACTAAAGTCCCATTCCTGCAATGAGCTCCACGTGGGCAGCCCCCCTACACAGATGTGCAACTTCATTTCCTTCAGTAAGGTTCTGCTTGGGTGGAGAGATGTTTGTATGGATCTCATAGCAAACAGCATAAGGCCTCAATCCTGCAAAGTGCAAGATATTAATTCAGAATATCCAAAAAAGCTACCATGAAAAGATGCTAAAAATAATGCCTGTAAAATTTGCTCATTACCAAAACCACATTAATTTATGGAGACAGTGTTGTGAGCAGCCAGAGGCTATATCATTTTGACAGCATTACATTTATTTATTTTTTCTTCAGGCAAGGCACAGTTATGATGCCTTCTGTGTTAAGATTTATCAGTAATATCTGCTGTGCATCAAATCTAAAAAAGAATATGGAGCTTCCATGGTCTGTTGAAAATAAAATTCTTGTGTCTATAAAGGACTATTATAGCAACAGAAGCTGGTGGAAAGATCAAAGAGTAACTTCTCTGTGCACCAGCTCTCCCTATGAGGGGAGGAAAAAATGCAGAGGAGCTATTTTACCAACTAAGTATTAAATTAATCCTATCAAAAAGAAATAAATACATTTTCCTATTTCACATAGCAGCAGTATCATGTACTGTTTAATCTGTCTCTCCTTTGCAAGGATCTAATACAGCAACATTTTGGTGATATTCAAATAGTTAACCATTTCCCAACAATCACCTAAATTATTATGTTCCAACAGTCTTAGTATTTCCTGCTATTTGCTACACTTCTTCTCTAGTGAGGCATATATTTCAGTAGACTAGAAGAGGAGGATGTATCATAAAAGGAATGAGAAGGGAGATTAAAGGCTCCTTTGAAGGGCTTGCTGTGATTATAGCTCCCTTGTGATTAATAGAGAAGATTAATAAATCTCAAAATAACTTTATCCAAGGAAAGCTTGAAATAAAACTCCCCAGAAATCTAGTAGGAGAATGTCAGCTCCTATTGTGATATTTTCTAAGTTTCTCTGAAAATTAAGTGCCCCACCAAAAAAATCACTAGTTCAAAAGTCAGAGTTGTCATTTGTAAGCTAGCACTTTTGGCTCATATGTTTCATAAACTTGTCATTTTAGGAGGGACTGTACGTCAGCCAGTTTTCAGCTTCACAGGTCCATTGCTAAGCAACAAAGAGTGCCCCTTAGGACAACCAGACTTAGCCTAAATGAGGATTTCTTTTGCTGTTTGCCAGGAGCTTCACCACCACATTTTTGCATAAAACCAGGTAAATTGAAACTTAACTGCAAGATGGAATATTGGATGCTGGGAGCTGTGGTCTATATCTCTACAGTAAAGATACCAATACCTGTGGGACACTGTAATCTACTAGTTCTCCAAGAGTGGTCCTGAGCTCTAGGAACCCAAAGGAGTTCTCAGAACAGAAATAAATCTTAGTTTTCCATATTTGTTTTTAAATTATTTTCTTATACAGTCTGTTGAATTTTAAATATAATACACTTAAGACAGCAATTCATAAGAGTTATTTATGCAAGTCAAATGACCTCTTTGTGCCTCAATTTTATGTATGTTAATAGGGTTAATTCTCCCAAGTGTTGTGTGGCTTAGCTGACTGACATACTCAAAGGGGAGATGCTGTAGAAGTGTAAACAGTACTATTGGCTAGAAATAGTGATGGTAAACAGAATAATTTCTCTAAATATGATTTATTAGTGTTTTTTAATATTTCAGTGCACTAGCAGCCCTGATGAGAATCCAGGCCCCATCTTACTACAAGCTGTACATATACATATTAAGATATGGTCTCTTCCCCAAACAGCATACAATCTGATTTGCCTTACTAGATCAGAACATAGGTCCATTTAGTGCAGTATTCTGCCTCTCTGGATATAGGAAATGTACCCTGATCTTCTGTGAGAGAGACACAGGTGCTCTTCCTCAGATCTGGCCAACTTGTGTTCAGCATAGGGCCTTGGATGGAAAGGAGACAGCAAGGGAGTGGTGGTATGCCATCTTTGCACTCTCTGATACCTAGGATAAATTAGAGAAACCCTGAGGGCTACTGTTCAAAGAACCACTATGCCACCCAGGGATCACTGGAGCGCAGCAGTGCTCTGTCCATGCCCCCTTCCTCCAGAGAGCTAGGGGGCTAGGGATGGCTGGGAGGAGGAAGTAGCATAGAATTGGCTGTATGTCACCCAAGGATTTCTCTATGCCAGGAAAATCCTCAGATGCCTGGCGAAGGAGCTTTACAGATCCTGTGTGTCACCGAAATGTAGGCATAACTAGACCTAAAACAGACCTCATTTCTCAGTGGGCATGACTGGGAAGGTGAATGGAAGATTAAGTTGTAAATAAGGGTGTAATGCATTAGGCTAGAGTCAGTCTAGCTGAAATAGGCAGGAACATGCTGATACTAGGGACAATGGACAAGATAAACCTGAAATGTAGAGATCAAGTGATACATGGATAAAGAATGCTGTAAAGTAACTGGTTCTTGGAAAGTAACCAAGCCAGTCATGAAACCATATGATGCAATGTATAGCCAGGAATGCAGGTTCTAGTAAAGATGAATATAAGGAAAAAATCTGCTGTGTAACTTTGGATTTGCACTGTACCCTGCATCAATCCTCTGCATTTGAGCCTGGCCTGCTTGTTCATAGTGTTGCTGTATGCCAGATAAAAGTACCTGAGTGACAAATTCCAGAATCAAACTGAGTGGAGAGGGACTTGGGGATCCCAACATACAGCAGCACAAAGGGGATGTGTCACAAAACTGTCACTATGGCATTTAATAATCTAATATTCCAGTATTTATAAAAGGACCTAAAGAACAATCAATTTCAAACCCAATAAATAGATCATACATGTTATGTCATAAGAAAGGATGTTTACTGAATAAGCAGCAATAAAAATGCCATCTGTTTAAACAGTCTTCCACACTGAGGGGCAAATCCTCCATTGTGGAACAATGAGAATTTACACCAGCTGAAGCTTTGTCTCTGAGATTTGTATTTTTCTGTTAAAGTCTTTGAAGTATACTGTCAGAGATGGAAAAATTAGGATTATTAATTGTATCTCATTGTTAAAGCACTTGGTTGAAAAGCTTTAAATCTGCTGTTGAGTTAAAGGCCTCTCCCTGAACAATTTGTCACATGACGATCATTATGTAATGCACATTGTCCATTTTAGAATCTTTTAAGAAAAGATTTTCTTAGTTACTGTTCTAGAATTATTTGAATAATTTAATTGTCTGATTTGTGTGTGTGCATATATAAAAAAGCACACGCTTTGGGGCCCAACAACCTTAAAAGGCAAAGTTCATGAAATGAATTCTAAACTTCAAAATAGATTAATTAGCTTGGTAGCTGTCTAACTTGAATACAATTAGGGATCACAATTTTAGGAGTGCTAGTCACAAGATGGATGGCATGATACAACGTAAAATTTTCTCTGGAGAGCTAAAGGCAAGACCATATTGTGCATTGTTCACACCAATAATTGTTGATGCTACCAATATTTATGTAAGAAACTGTTTCAACTGTCCATACTATCTGGGAGCGAAGAAAGGATGAAAGGGGAGCAAAGCTCCAAAGGATATTTAAGGAATGAGGCAGGCACCTCTCCCCAGTATTAAGCAAAATCATATCCACCCTCAACACCAACCCTTTGGAAAGCTTCCAATTTCCTAAGGCATAAAATTATAACCAGAAAACCAGAACAAAATGCCAAATTGACTATGATATGAGGGGCTTGGGTGACCTAGGTGTAAATAGGCACAAGTGTGGGTTCCACACCAGGGGAGAAGTCAAAAGAAAACACCTCACCCAACTTCAGGTTTTGTCATGGGATGTTTTACA